CCACAATTAATTTTAAACATTTCATCACATACCCCCCTCCAAGAAAAACCGTGCACCCCAACCACACAGTTCCAGCTGTAGGCAACCACGAATCTTCTGTCTTATCTGTATACATTCGTCTGTTCTGGACATTTCACGAGTAGAACCGTGCAGTATGTGCAAGGTCTTTGTGACTGTCCTCTTTCATTTCTGTTTTCAGGGTTCATATATGTTGTATCACATATCAGTACTTTATTTCTTTTTATTGCTCAATATTTTATTATGGATATACAACATTTTATTTATCACTTGATGGACTTTGGGATTTTTTCCCTAATTTTGGGCTATTAGGAATTACGCTGCTATGAACATTTTTGTGCAGGTTTTTTGTATATAAATATGTTTTCATTTCTCTTGGGTGTATACCTATGAGTGGAGTTGCTGGAGCATATTGCTAGCTCTGTGTTTAGCTTTTTAAAAGCTTGCCATGCTGTTTTCTAGTGACGCTGCACGATTTGACATGCCTGCCAGCGCTGTACGAGGGCTCCGCAGTTCTTCTGCATCCTCATCAGCACTTTTTGTACCTAGCCATTCTGGTGGGTGCTAAGTGGTTTCTCATTTTTTTAATTCAAGTATAATTGACATACAATATTATATTAGTTTTAGGTGTACAGCATAATGATTGTGACATTTTTGTACATTGCAAAATGATCACCACAATAGGTCTTACCATCTGTTCCAAAACAAAGTTATAAAACTTTCTTAGCAGCTTTCAAATTTGCAATATATTAATTATAGTAACCATGCTGAACATAACATCCCCATGACTTACTTATTTTTATGTCTGAAAGTTTGTACCTCTTGATCTCCTTCACCAACTTTGCCTAAGCCCCAACACTGCCCCCATCCTCAGCATTCACCAGTCTGTTGTCTGTATATGAGTTTTGTTTGTTTGTTTGTTTGTTGTTGTTGTTTTAAGATTGCATATGAGTGAAATCATACAGCATTTTTCTTTGTCTGATTTATTTCACTTAGCATAATTCCCTCCAGGCCCATCATGTTGTTGCAAATAGCAAAATTTCTTTTTTTTTTTTTTTTAATATCTGAGTAGTGTGCTATTTTGTGAGTGTTTATTATATCACATCTTCTTTACTCATTCATTGATGGGCATATATTTAGGTTATTAACAAATCTTGGTTATTGTAAATAAATGCAGTGAATGTAGGAGTGCATATAGTTGTTCAAATGAATATTTTCATTTTCTTTGGACGAATACCCAGAAATAGAATTGCTAGATCATATGGTAGTTCTATTTTTGAATTTTCGAGGAATTTTCCATACTGTTTTCCATAGAGGCTGCACCAGTTTACATTCCTACCAGTAGCACACATAGATTCATTTTTCTCTACATCCTCGCCAGCACTTGTTATTCCTTGTCCTACTAATACTGCCCTTCTGACAGGTCTTGTGCTTTTAATTTGCTTTTTTCTGATGACCAGTAATGTAAAGTATCATTTCCTGTGCTTACTAACAGCCATTTGGATATCTTCTTTGAGTAAATCCGGCTATTTCTCTTATTTTAAATCCTCAGCCAAAGACACATTTACTAATTTTAGAGACAGGGAGAGAAACATCTATGTGAGAGAAAAGCATCAATCAGTTGCTTCTTTGCATGCGCTGTGACCGAGAACTGAACTTGCATCCCTGACAGGGAACCGAGCCCAATACCTTTCAGTTTACAGGGTGGCGCTCCATCCAACTGAGTTACACCAGCCCGGGCTCATCTTTTTACTAGAGTTATATGGTACAAGTCCCCTATCAGATACATGCTGTGTAAGTATTCTCTAGTTCTGTGGATTGTATTTTCATTTTTTTGATGATATTCTTTGAAGCACAGAGTTTTTAATGATGATGATGAGCAATTTATCTATTTTGTTGTTGTTTCTTGCACTTTTGGTGTCCTACCTTAAGAAACGATTGCCTAATCCAGGGTCATAAAGATTTACACTTGTATATTCTTCTAAGAGTTTTATAGTTTTAGTTCATACATTTGCATTTTTGATCCATTTTGAGTTAATTTTTGTATATGGTATGAGGTAGGAGTCCAACCTCACTCATTTTATTTGGATATTCAGTTGTCCTAGCACTGTTTGTTGAAGAGAATGTTTTTTCCCCATTTAATAGTCTTGGCATCCTTGTTAAAAAAATCAGTTGCTTATAAATTTGAGAGTTTATTTCTAGACCCAGTTCTAGTCCAGTGATTTCTTTCTATCCTGATGTCACTATCTCATGGTTTTAATTTGCATTTTTCTAAAGATTAATGATGTTGAGATACATCACCAAGTGATTATTTTTGCCATTTGTCTCTCTGCCTTGAAGTGGTCAAATATCTTGCACTGTTTTTTAAAAGTTGGTATTTGACTTACTGAGTCGTAAGAGTAGTTATAGCAGGCAAATATTTTGCAATTTTTTTTATTTTGCCTTTTCATTTTCTTAACAGTTTCTTTAGTAGCATATTCTGCCACCATTCCGTGGATTCTAAAAGACTCGTGAAATCAGTTTGGCACCTGATTGGATAAATAGGGCTTGAGAAATATCAAGATCTTGGAGGTAGTGATATAATTACTAGTAGGAAAGAGGTTGTTAGTTTGGGATACACATGGTCTCACTATGACTAATGGTGGTTCGAATTATGCTTTTTCAACTTTATGGTGGTATGAAAGCAGTGTGCATTTAGTATAAGCCATACTTCAAATTTTGAATTTTGATTTTTTCCCCCAGGCCAGCCATATACGGGGTACTATACTCCCTCATGTTTCTGGGCAGTGGCAGTAAGCTGTAGCTCCCAGGCAGCCACGGGATCACAAGGGTGAACACCTGATACACTGCAGTGCTACATTAAATGCATTTTCGACTTAGAATATTTTCAGTTTATCACAGGTTTATCATGATGTGACTCCATTATAAGTCGAGGAACATCTGTATATAGAAATTGAGATTCCTAGTGACATCCAGATAGAAATGTACTTTCTCGTCCCTCAACCTGGAAACTTACTTCTGGATGTTCTCAGAGCTCACTCACTCTGTTGTCATTCAGGTCTCAGATAACACCTCCTAAAATAAGGCTTCCCTGACCATATTATCTAGTGCTGCCCCTTCTAAGCATCACTACCTATATTATATTGATGCAGGTATTCCAGAGGTGTGGGGGCCTCAAGAGTCCGCCACCCACTGTGGGTTCTTGGCTTGGCATGGGAAAGTTCAAATGCACGCCAGCATAGAGTTTAAAGTAAAAGTGACTTTATTAATGAAGCAGTGAGACAGAGAATGAGCTAGTCCACAGACCAAGCAACTCCCCTTCAGCAGACTCTGCTTCCTTTATTGGGGTTCATTTAATTGGGGGTTTGGGTATTCAGTGAGGAGGAGAAATAGTCAGGATCCCCTGGAAAAGGGGTGGAAATTTCTCAGAGGAGCTCTATTAGCCATTTTGTGTCCTTATATGGGCTTTCTGTTTCTGATCCTGGCTTCACGATGGGTTGTGTTGTTTAGCATGCTGACGTATTACAATGAGTGCATGATTAGGCTATAGGTTGTCGTAGGTGAAATTAGTGGCCATGTTGTATCCAGCTGGTCTATGGTGGTTTTAAGCCATTAGTCAGATGGGGAGTGGTCTTCCTTCTTGATAGTTTCTATAGCTTCTATCCATTGCAGCTATTCTGCCAGGTACCCTCTCTCAGCATCACCCTGTTCTGCTTTCTCTACAGTCCTTTATCTGAAGTCATCTTATTGTGAATTTGCTTATTATCTGTTACTCTGCTGCAGTGATTTTCAACCTTTTTGATTTCATGGCACACAACAAACTAATTACTACAATTCTGCAGTACTCCAAAACATTATTTTTTTGCCAATCTGACAAAAAAAAATAAAGGTATAATTTTGCTTCATTCCCACCAGACAACTATTGTTGTGTTGGCTGTTATCATTTTTTAAAATCTGACAATCTAAGGGAAAAGAGGTCAGTGCACCTGATTAAATAGTCAGGTAATGCACCCTGACTGGTGTGGCTCAGTTGGTTGGGCGTGGTCCCGAAAAGTGAAAGGTCACTGGTTTGATTCCCAGGCAGGGCACATGCCTGGGTTTCGGGTTGGGTCCCTGATCTGGGTGCGTATGGAAGGTAACCCAATTGATGTTTCTCTCTTGCATCAGTGTTTCTTTCCCTGCCTTTCTCCTTTCCCCTGTCTCTAAAAATAAATAAAATCTTTAAAAAATAGATATTGCAATAAAAATTCTTGTGGCACTCCTGTTAAGAAATTGCTGCCCTACTGGAATGTAAGCTCCATTAGGACAGGATCCTCTCCTGCCTTGGTCTCCAATGTAGCATCAACATTTCCCCTCTGAATTAGCTGTGGTTCCCATCCGTCAAATTCTCACATTCTAAACTTAATTTATTGGCATCATAATCTATTCATAATGTTTAAAATTGATCCAGAAATTATAGTTAAAACAAAGAACAAAACTGCATTTTTGTTAGAGACTTTACCTAAAGGTCAAAAATGTCATGAAAAATAATCTAGCCCTGGCTGGCGTAGCTCAGTGGATTGAGCGCGGGCTGCGAACCAAAGTGTCGCAGGTTCGATTCCCAGCCAGGGTACGTGCCTGGGTTGCAGGCCATAACCCTCAGCAACCACACATTGATCTTTCTCTCTTTCTCTCTCTCTATCTCCCTCCCTTCTTGCTCTAAAAATAAATAAATAAAATAAAAGAATAATCTGCAAGAACTTTTAAACTAGTTGTGTTTACCTCTTTCTCATCACTGATTTCAGGTGATTTATACTGATTTTAATGTATGTCCATTAGAGATTGGGAGGAGGTGCATTTTTACTACTTCATGATAAGAAGTCTTAGCCACCTGCAAACAGAATTGGATATCATATTTAATTAACCTTTTCCTCCCACTCCCTCTCTCTAAAAAACGTTGCAGACTTTTATACTTGATTAATTGCCTCTTTTCTGTTTTACAGAGTAAGAAAGCCTGAGTTCTGTGAAAAACCAGAGAAGAGAAACTAAAAGAATAGTAGACAAGGTTTTTCCAATTTGCATAATGTAAGTTCTTTTCACTATTCTTGGCCTGAATCTTATGTTAGTTGAAAAAAGCTGTTTCTATGGAAACAAATAGTCCAACTTCTTAGAATGTCAGAGGAATGCTGATCACTTAATGAGACTTCCCAGCTGCTGGTCAAAGGGCATTACTTGTGGGAGAAGGGGAGGAAGGCTAAATAGGAAAAAATAATCTAGAGTTCTGGACTCTAGTGTCAACCAACCATGTTTATGCATATGAAGTGTATGTTTTACATTTTCCACTGTCTAAAAATTAGGATACCAATTATATAGGAAATTGTCTTCCTGCATTATAAGCTGTCATGTTTTCTGGCTCTCACATAAATGGTTCTGGTTCTTGGTGTCAATTTTTCAGTGAGCCACTATTCCTCGTGCTATTTCACACTCCCCAATTTCAGTCATTTGTATTTATCGACGCTTATTTAGCATCTTTTTATCTCCCCCTTTCCTGTAGCCAATTCACATGGGCAAAGCCCTTTCTTCCCCACTAGTTTGAAGTTAACATTGAAACAGTTTTGGCCTGCCAACCTGAAAATTCATTTTCTTGTCTTGTGGACTATGTAAAGACTTCTGATTGATTTTTAAAATTTTTCTTCAGTTTTTCTTCCACCATGGAGGGAGGGGTATGAGCTAGGACTCTGATGAGGATTTGAAATGTGGGCTTTTAAGGCATTTAAGAAATTTACTGTTTATAATTAGAGGATTGAGAAGAGAGGAATACTTTTTTAAAGATTGTATTTATTTATTTTTAGAGAGGGGGAAGGGAAGAAGAGAGGGGAGAGAAACATCGATGTGTGTTTGCCTCTCACATGACCCCAACCCAGTACCTGGCCCAGGCATATGTCCTGACTGGTAATGGAACCCGTGGCCTTTTGGTTCGCAGGCTGGCACTCAGTCCACTGAGCCACACCAGCCAGGGCAGAAAAGAGGAATAGAAACTTGTGACAGTGTTGTCTGGGTAAGGTGGTCTCTTACTTACATAAAAGGAGGTAATACTCGAGTTCACTCATTACCAACTTCTAAATTGTCAGACAAAGGCCCTCCCTCCTTCCTTTTGGAGAGGGAAAATATAATTCTTTTGGACTGGGACTCTGTCACTGTTTATTGATATGTATTGCCTACATAAGTAAGCTAGCGTATTCATGGTTTGCCTCTTTAAACATTGTAATGATCTTAATTCTGAAACTGTAGCACATGGCATAATGTTTCTGATTCTAGAAGAACTTTTTGAATCTTTCATGGCCTTCATGAATTAATTTGTGAATGGAGTTATACGTGGAGTGTTGTATGGTGAGATCATAACCAAGGTGGTCTGGAAAAACTTACCCAAGAAATAAGGGTTTGTAGTAGATCTCGAAGGTAGAATTGGAAAGGAGAATCAGTTCCTATTTTGTAGTTCATAAGGCATTTAGGCAGGAAGAAAAAAAGATACGACGGGATAGGCACAGATGAAGAAGCTAACTTAGAAGGCCTGTGCAGGAACATAGTAAAAGATACAGTTAGAAAGTTGGAGTTTACCTTGTGATTTCAAACTCTATTCTGTAGGCAATATGAAAGCTACGAGAGGTTCTAAACAGTAATGATTTGCTCATATACTTAATTAAGCATTTATCTTTTACTAGACATCCTGGCTGTGGAGATCCCTGTAGAGACTAAGACAGGTCCCTGCTAATTCGATCATTTACCTGTGTCACTGTGCAATTAGTGTCCCAAGCTAAACCCATATGACCCTTTCATTTCTCACCCCTTCTAATTCTCCCTCTCCTGTAGTCGCAGTCTTGGTTAATGACATTGCCATCCACCTGGTGATCCAAAGGTAGTGGCCCTGGAGTCACACTGTCTGGGTTCATATCCTGAAGCCTCCTGTTTGCTTCACCCTGTGCGGGGCAGTGTTGCAGATCCAGAGACGATTCAGCCTGTGCTCTGACCTCCAAGGGCTTCTAGTTTGGTAGGCAGACAGCGATACAAATAGTTGCAATCCAGTTTGATCAGAGATGTGACAGGGATTGTGGAGTTCCAGAAGAGTCACATATCCAGTCTGGGGAGTCATGGAATCCAGAGGAGGATGTATTGGAGCTGAGGCTTGAAAGGAGAGTAGTCAGGGATTAGATCCTAGGCAGTCTGATCTGGTTCTGTTCTAAGCATTCTGCTGTCTTGGGGAACTAGGTGGGCATAGTGGCATTAATTACACTTGAGAATGGAGGAAATGGAGAAGAGGATTAAAGGGAAATATGAGTTCAATTCTGGACACATTAATTTCTAAATTAATGTAGGACATTTTGGTAGGTAAACTAATAGGCAGTGATCTTGTCTCTATAATCATAGGACCTAGCCAAGGGTAATGCTCAATTAAAGTTGTGTGCAAATCACACCTCTTTTCTAAATCTTCAATGGCTTTTCTACTGTCCTGAGTATTAAGGACTTATATTTAAGACTGTTCTGAAATTGAACCCAGTCAAAATTTTTAGCCACTATCCTGTTGTACAAGCTGACGGCTTTAGTTAAACTAGCCTTATTTATACTTTCTTACACCTTTTCTGTTCCTGCCTTTGGCTCATGTGGCCTCTCCATTAGTTCTCCATCCTGTTTTCAGGGCCCACTTTCATTCTCATTCCTCATCTACAAAACAGGCATATTTGTACGTACGTTTATAGTTGTGATGAGGATTGAATGAGTGAGTACTGTATAGCGTTTGAAACATTGTACAGCACTCAAGGGCTCAGTAAGTGTTGTAGTTGTGGTTACTACTATTACTATTTCTTTCTTCGTTTTCTTCTTCTTGCCCCACGATATGAAATAGACACCAAGTTCTAGTACTTCTGTAACTTACATATTTCTTTAATATAACTTTCCTTAATTTCACTCTTAGCTCAGGACCACATTTCTTACAGTTGCCTTCAAACTGGTCTCATTGTCACCCTTTAGTCAATCCTGTGCACTTCTGCCAGAGTGGTATTTCTCTAAGAGTGCATGTGATCATTGCCATCTCCTGCTTTAATTCCTGTAATAAGTTTTACTGCTTTCAGGATAAAGGTCAAAGTCTTTTGCTCTCAAACCATTCTCAGTCTGGACCCCTGCGTGCCTCTCCACTTCTGTCATTATTCATGCATGACATGCTCCCATTGTCCCATTCAGCCTTACTGCATTCTGTTCTGGTTTTTGAAAGTGCCATACTCTCATACCCCATCTTCCTGTTGGTCTTGTGATTTCCTCTGCCTGGAACAGTCTCTCCTACCTGGCTAAATTTAGTTCTTTGAAACGCCTCTCAAATACATCCTTATCTTTTGAGTGTTTGCTGTGATCCCTCACCACAGACTAAGTTTTAGAGTCCTTTGTCTGTGCATCCTCTGTGAATTTATGACATTTCTAAGTTTAGTTGAGCAGATATTTATTGTGCATTTCCTGTGTTACATTTATATTGTTAAGTTCCAGGAGATGTAAAAATAAGACCTGAGGCCTGTCTTGAACGAGTTTAGAATGTAATGCAGAGAAGCCAACTGGGGAAGAATAATCATTCGTTTGCTTTGCTGTCTCTCCCAGTAGATTATGAACACTCCAAGGGAGATGACCAAAATGGGATTTTAAGTGAATTAATACCAGGTTACAGAAGTTTTGCTGGGAGTCAAAGGTGAGATCCAGATAGATAAGCATGAGAACTCTTACCCAGACCACCTGGCCCAGTCTCTTGTTACCTGATCTGTAATCTGCCCCCCGTGATCTGGCATAGTGACTGTGGACATAGTCTTACAGTTTTTAAGTTGACAATTTTAGTTCCAGATAGTAATTTTTGTAGACTGTCTTATAAAGTAAAAAATACATGATTAAATTTGATTTTTAATATTCAGTAATATTGTAAATAGAGAAAGTTGAGAGTTTTAACTTTCTGGAATTATGTACACTCCTAGATTTTTAAAATTAAGCACAGAACTACAGTAACTCTTACGCAAGTTTATGTTTACTTGTAAGGAAAACATCAAATAAGCTGAATTTGCATTTGCATAAATTAAGAATTTCCCAATGTAATTCCAGTGGCTGTTATTTTAATGAAAAAGAAGGCAATCTAATGATAAGTAAGGTATTTGTGTGTAAATTACTTGGTTATATAGAGAGAAGCTAAGATTTGAATAGAAGACTGAAAAATCTCCCAAAATTCTTGTGAAATGTAATTCTGGTGATTCTTGTAGTTTCTATGTCTTTTCCTGGTGGTTGGTCTAGTGATTTTCCTGGTTGTTTAGGTGGGTTTGTGTTAGGCAGTCTGTGGCAAGATGTTGGACAGAAGTTTGGCTGGCATTTGGAATTCTGTCTGAAAACTCAGCTTTTGCTTAGTAGGCATGTGCTCTAACAAACCTGTTTACTGAAATGATGTTCAACTCAAGGAGGTAGTAGGTTTATTATTGTAAATATTTTTAAAGTCTTGAGAAAAAAGAAAACTAATTAGATTTATGTGTGGGTTTTCACATATATAAACAATCTGCCTTTTTATGCTCAAGAAATGGCTTGATGAAAAGCCAGTGTCATGAAGCAAAATATTTTTCTTGTCTAAAATATATTGAAGGATTTTTAAAACATAAGAATTAAAATACTAAGAATTAATATAAATATATATTTTTTAATTTTAAAACTTGCATACATTATCATTTAAAACTGAGAACAAACCTGTGAATAAATTTTCCAGAGGAGTCTGAGGTTCAGAGAGAGACACTGACTAGTCTTAGATCATAAAGCTCTAGAGGAAGTGTCAGAGCCAGAATTAAAATTCAGTTTTCTGGTCTCTGAGTCCTGTATGTTCTTATTTTCTATATATATGGCTTTAAAATGTTCTCCAGTGGTAACAGGTACCGCTTTTCTCTGAATGAACTTCATAAAGAATTTATCCTAATTCTTTTGTTAATGTGACCAAGTTGTAGACACTGATAACCCACGTGGTCTTTTTCTCACTGAATGTGGTTTTATCCTGTAGGTGCCTTAGCTGCTAATTAAAGTTTCTTTTTCACTGGGTGTCTTCTTCATTTTATTAACTCCTAAAAGTGGATCCACTAGAACACCGCCTTTACCTCATTTGAGCCACAACGTGACATGCAGCCAGTTTCTTTAGAAATTAAGTAGGCGATTATTTTAATCTTGTGTGTATTAATTGAGTGTAAAGTACTGTGTTGAGACAGTTATACAAAGATTGTTAAAGCATCTTTATACCTTAAGCAACCTATTCTCTACTAAACCAGTACCCAAAACTTCCTTACCTTCTAATTTTGCTAAACTTTCTAATATATCATTTTTCTCAGCTATAAAATAACAATGTGCTTCAGATTCTTGGGAGGGAACTTTTTTGGGGCAGAGGGTAATACCTTGATTTTCTCAACAATATCTAGTAAGTGAAAGGAAAATACTTTGTAGGGCAACAGAAAGCACTTAATCTAATATTATATACTTATGGGATATTTTCTATATTGTATATAAAGTTTTTATATTGTAATTCTTACACTTTTTCCCCCCATCTTTCCTCTTAGATTTCCTTCATGGATACATTTTCATAGCATTATTATGTGATGGGAGAAGTTTTTTTTTTTTTTGAAGTAACATGGATTTTATACTACAGAATCAAGAGATTGGCTTTATAGGAAAAATTGATATATAAAAGTGGTACAGGTTTTTATAGATAACCATGACAACATCCCATATGAATGGGCATGTTACTGAGGAATCAGACAGCGAAGTAAAAAATGTTGATCTTGCATCACCAGAGGAACATCAGAAGCACCGAGAGATGGCTGTTGACTGCCCTGGAGATTTGGGCTCCAGGATGATGCCTGTACGTCGAAGTGCACAGTTGGAGCGTATTCGGCAACAACAGGAGGACATGAGGCGTAGGCGAGAGGAAGAAGGGAAAAAACAAGAACTTGACCTTAATTCTTCCATGAGACTTAAGAAACTAGCTCAAATTCCTCCAAAGACTGGAATAGATAACCCAATATTTGATACAGAGGAAGGAATTGTCTTAGAGAGTCCTCATTATGCTGTGAAGATATTAGGTAAGTAAAAACAGAATAATAGAAAATATTTTGCTTTTATTTCTCTTGTCTTAATGTAAATGTGTATAAGATGGCAGAGGAGTATAAAAGAATATAAAATTCTTGAAATTTAAATTTAAAGCCTTGAAATTCACCTTTTATTTCAAACTCAAACTTTTATATCAAAATTACTCAAAAGCAATTTTCAGATTTTGAACTTCTGATTTCATTAAAGTTTGTAAAATAGCAATAAAATTAATATCTGTACCTTAAAACACTTGATTTTAATTAATACCATTACAAAGAACTAATGCTGTTTATATGGCATTATACACATAAAACATGGCTCAAAATCTCCTATGCCGTCTATTCTAATACCATTCTGGGGGCAGGGGAAGCTAGTGCTATGGGATTTTAATAGATACAAAAAAAATGTTCTGTGATCAAATAAATTTTGAGAACAGGGGGTTAAATATGTTAAACAGCTTTTCATTACAGGACTTCTTAGAGACTGGAGAATGCTAACATGCATTATGAGTCTACAATAGAGATTGGTGTCGAATGTAAATTTCCAAACTTAAGAGTTTTTGATTATTGAACTTACCGCCCTCCCTTCCTGCACACACAAGAGGGATCACTGATCTAGTGTTAAGAGTGGACGTTAATTTATGTTCCCTTAAATGTTATAACAAACACCATTCTATGTCATAGCCACAGTAGTCCTGTTAAAAGGGCTTTATAATTGCCATTTTGGAGATAAAGAAATCGAACCTCAGTTAAATCGCCTGTTTAAGACTCCAAGCTTTTAAGTGGTAGAGCCAAATTTGAATTCCCCTGTGCTAGATGTGTAGTCAGTATATTATACAGAGCAAAGCAGGTTTGATTGGAGACTGGCATCCTATCTGTTCTTCACTCACTGGACCAGGGCTCTGGCTACCGAGAGGACTACCTTTTTCTGGTTTTCCTGAAGGTTCCTTATGTACTAGATTTGCTCCTCACTAAGTCTCTATATTCCAAATCTTGAGCAGTTTCTTCTCCACCACATCATCTGCTTCCTTTCTTTGCTGTAAATTTATTAAGGATCTACAGTTCTTGACAGAAAGCAGTGTACATGCTTCTCTGGTGTTTGAAGAAATCATTGACGTGTTCAGTGATGGTGAAATCTGCTAAATGCCTTCAGATGTTAATAGTGAAAGCAAAAGATTACATATTTTCTAATACATTTATCTGAAGGAATTTTATGTTCCTTTTTTTATTGATAGTTTTGTTAGAGGAGAAATATTTCCCAGTTACTTCTAAATGGCTCTCATTTCTCACCACCCCAGTTTTTAAAATTAAAATATTCTGTCAGTATTCTCTGTGACTTGGAAAAACCTTACTTTGTAATACATCTAGTCCAAGCCTGGAAGATTCTTGTTTTTCTGTTTGAATTACCTTAAGAGTACTATGTTATTTGTCCATTTGCTCTACTTAGATCAGGCATAAATGTCCCTCTAATAAATTAATATTCATGTAATCTCAGTAAAGAAACAAATTTAGCTTAAGCCAGATTCACTTATGGAATTAATTAATTAGTTTATTTGCCTAAGCAAGAAAACTGGAGACCATTTCTCTTAAATTGTTTTTTTTGCTTTTTTTTCTTTCTGTTTGTGTGTTGGTGGCTAGCTAATCTACAAGTATAGATTAAAGGACAACTGTATATTTTTCCAACTTGCAGTTCACGGTAGTTTGTAAAACTACCTTTGTACAGTCCTTGAACTTAAGGCTGTTTTACATATTTTAAAGTAATTTAAAATGTAGTACTAGGTATCTGTACTTCATTTTTTGAATAGGAGAATATTCATATGTTGAGAAATAAGTGATAGATTTAATGTTAATATACTCAACACAAATGTGTTAATTGTAGGAAACATGAAAAGTTAATGTAAGTTAAAACATTACTGTCGATCAAAGCTTTAGTGTTTGGATATACTTATATTTAAGTTTTTATTTTAAAATGAAGTTTAATAGCTTTGTAACAAACACTCTTTTCCTGTTCTTAATTTGCCCAACACATCATACTACGTCAGACATACTCCCTTAAAGTCACATGTGTCTCCCTGCCAGTGTTCTGATTAACACACGTGCCAGGAGACAGCTTCCCAGCCCTTTTTACAGCCAGCAGCAGCAGCCTTGTTTTAAGTGAGGAAAGAACGGGGCGGCTGATTTATTTCTTTCAGAGGGAGCCTTCAGTTTCCTGATGACACATCATCATTGATCTGTGAGTAGAGAAAATAATTCTTTCAAGACCCGAAAATGTGATTGGAAAGGTTAGGTACTTTAACTGGCTGGGTGTTGGTGTCAAATGAAATTATTTATAAATTGGGCACTGTGCAGTAACAAAAGTGCAGGGATGGAGGAACCACCTTACAGTTTCCCAAAGGAGACGCACCATTGCACATTCCCACCAAGAATGCACTGATAATAGCTCTTCTAATGAGTGTGAGTGTGCCCTGAACTTTCAGACTATAGAAATGTGCATAAAGTAAGTGGGTATAAGTTTCTAACACATGTAGAATAGCATCTGTTACAGAGGAAACTCTATGCTAAATTTGTTAAATAAATACACCAAACATGAAAGTTTAAAAAAAAGTTTAGGGATGGATTTGATAGAAAATATTCAAAAAGGATAAATTGAATTTTCTTGTTTAAAAACACTCAGAACCTTATTGGAAATTAGAAAATAGTGATGTGGGAACTTAATTCAAATGAATAATTAGTAATAGTGTTATAAATTATAAAAAATTTTGATATATGGGGGAGGTATTCCATAAAATTGACATGAATTAGTAAAACTTTCTACAAATAAAATTGTCTAGTTTTGTTCATAAGCAAACTGTCTTGTGAGAGAAATCCTGAGAGAAGAACAGAATGCAGGGTCAAGTGGGATAAAGTAGAGCAGAATCATTTTCAGACATGTCTATAGATTTCACTGTGTTGGTTTGTGTGTCCACAAATAAGTAATTGTGGGCTACAGTTGTGGACAAGTAAATACAATAGACTATATTTAAAGGAAATAAACTCAGAAACGCTGCAGTCTATCATGTATATGACTGTATGATTATTATATCTCTGAAAAGAGCTCAGGCAAGGCACACTTGGCCACCCTATAGACATACACATACACACACACACACACACACACACACACACGGTGAGCTGTCTGCTTTGTGGTTAATAAAGAGACTCCTCGCCACCCTACACACACACACACACACACACACACACACACACACACACACACACACACACACACACACACACACACACACACACACGGTGAGCTGTCTGCTTTGTGGTTAATAAAGAGACTCCTGAAATTTGTGATTAGGAGCTTTCTTGTTTACACCATAAGAACACGCTACTAGTGTGAAGAAAACATTTAAAAAGACACACCAAGGAGGAGAAAACTATGAATAAAATATTTTTATAATATTAATAATAGCATGTTTCAGTCTTGATTAGTGTCTACATATTTTTTTGCCAGATAGCTCTGAATATTCAAACTGTTAGGTCAAAGGTACTTTGTATTTGACATTGTAAAGTAAAATATTTCTTCCACATTCATTTCTGTGACAACATTTGACTTTTGATTGACTGCGGCATATTCTGAAATATTGATGGATTGTGATGAACTTCTTTTAATATTGACTTTAAAATAAAGTTCCTTTAAAGTCAACAAACAAAATTCCGGTGGCAGTAAACCTTAAGGTCAGCCTACTCCTGAGAAATTAATTATTCTTGCCATTAAATTTATGCTCAGTTGCTGTAGGTACAGTAGATATTTTCACACTTTATTAGCCATTCTTTGAGGGACTTTTTATTTTTTCTTTCTGGAGGTGAAATGAACAGGCCTATTGGTATTAGGTGTAAAATGATGGTATCATTTGAAATTTTTCTCATTTGAGCAAAGATTTAAAAAATTCATTAGAATATAAGTGTAGTCATGTAGTGCTTGGTTGTTAACTACACATAATTCTACTGAAAAAATGATTAATTGCTACACCATTCCATCTTTGAACACAATGCATCAAAACTTAATTTCACCTGATAAGTAATAGTACATTTTAATTTTATCCCTCTTTCAAAGACTTGACTTTTTATGTTCAGAAATGCATGACATCGTTGCATATTGTAAGGTTCCAGGGATGTCTGGAATCAGATGTAGAGTTTACTTTTTATCTAAACTTAGTTGCTATTGACTTGGAGAAGTTACTTCACTTTTTTGAGTCTCCGTTTTAGGGTTCTCTTGAGGACCAAGGGAGAAAATGTTTATAAGCATTTGGCACACTGTAGGTTTGACTAAAGTTTAACTTGTGTAAGAACCAGAAGCCACCATAGAGATCATCTAATTTTCTAGTCCATGAAACTAATTTGTGGGTCTTAAATAGTAATTTTTAATTTTATTTTTTTAAATAGCAGCTTCATTAAGATGTAATTCACATATCATAAAATCCACTCTTATAAAATGTACAGTTCATGAGTTTTTAGCATATTCACAAGATTTTGTACCCATCACCACTATATAATTCCAGAGTATTTTCATTACCCCCAAAAAACAAACTGTATCTGTTAGCAACCACTTCATATTCTCCCCTCCCCTAACTTCGGACAACCCTTCTGTCTGTGGGTTTCTTTATTTGAGACATTTCATTCATATAACTGAATCACAAAGTATGTGACCTTTTGTGCCTGGATTTTTTTCACATAGCATAATGTTTTCAAGGTTCATCTGTGTTGTAGCATGAACCAGTACCTCATCCCTTTTTATAGCTGGATAATAGTCCATTGTATAGATAAACCACTTTTTTGTTTATCCATTCATCTGTTGATGGAACATTTGGGTTGTTCCACCTTATGGCTATTGAGAATAGTAGTGTTATGAATATTCATGTAAAAAATTTTTAAATCCTCACTTGAGGATATGTTTATTGATTTTAGAGAGAGAGGAGGTAAGAGAGGGAGAGAGAAACATACATGCC